TCGATGAAAAAAATATATACTTGTTAAAAAATATATTAATAACATTAAAATTTTTGAGTACATATTCAGTATATTTAGTCAGTACCAGTGCTATTTTGCTGTACCAGAGCCATGCAGTCAATATAATGTCATGAAGCTAATTTATGTAATAATATAGCTTAAATTGGATTTATTAAGTGTCATTGTCGGCTTTAAATAATTTATTGTCATGACTTGTCAAGAACTAAGTGTTTGAATGCATTATTAAAGGAACTTTGAAGAATTCCTTCCATATCAGTCATGCCAGAAAATAGCATCCACTTTGTAATAATATGGGCCTCAGTTTCACGATCAATGAAATCTTTGAAAGCATTGTAATCCTTTTCAGTACCCCTTTTAGCATTGCTCTTCCCTGTTCGATTCATTAATGCACAGGAGGTGCCCATCTCAGCAGCTGAACCTTCCTTAAAGAACAGCTGCTTGAAGATCTGAATACACAGTAACAATATTGCTTAAAGAAAACATTAAAATAACATCAAACTCTTTGTAGGTTAATCATACAGGCTCCAATCCCATGATATATGATTGTTTATTTTGTATTATTATACAGCTGCCAAGAAAAGGAATATAAATTAATGATATTCAGAGCAACCTTATTTGTTATGTGTTTAAAATATAACGTATGCCTTGATAACGCAGGAATTGTTCTGTTTTGTTTTCATAAACTTTATTGTTAACATTAATTTTTCGAATACATACATACCCCAAGAAACATCTTTAAGTGCCAGTCAGCAAAGGCTGGTGTTATTCCTTCTAGGCGCTCTGATGGAGATTCAGCCAGTGTATTTGCCCACTGCCAATTCCGAGCTCGTTCCTCTGTTAATTGGTCTCCGTCAAAGATCACCTTTTGCAAGATCTTGCTCCCACCACCATTAGAAGTCACTGTTGGAACATAGTTGGACTGGAGGGCTTCCATTATTTAAGCCATCTCTCCAGCTTTGTTGGGGTTTAGAAATTGCAGACCAAGTGGACACTGATAATTATTTGTAAAATATATATAAACATATAGTCAGTACAGTTTCACCTTAATACATTACATCAAACCTAGTGCCATTTGCATTTCACAGCTGTGTGGGAGGGAGGAGGTAGCTTAGTTGTAGAAGGTAAAAGGTCTCATTTTTTCTAGCCTGAATCAGTTTTCATTTGCAACCCTTTCTTGTTATCCACCAGAGAGCAGCATCTTCAATAAAAAGGTCCTTTTCTACAAGTATTAGTGACTGACAGATAAAGTATAATAAAAGCAGCAATAGAGGAAGGTCTATACCTTAATCATTTATAAGGGATTGTAGTGTGAAGCATGGCTCAAAGGGTAGGAAAAAAATTTCGGTGAAAGAAGAAGTGACTAATTTGACTTCTGACATTATTATTGTTATTTTTTGACCTCACAATAATTGTCCAAAACATACCACTTCTGATTTTTCCTGCATCTCTCTAGAGTACTGGTGTGGAATGTGGTATATAGAAGCCCCCTTGAATTTGTTTTAAGGTTTTAGGTACTTAAAAATGATTCTTGTGATTATGCTTGTTGAATCAGATGCTATCGCCTCCTGCACTTCAGGTGTTGTTAGGAACTCCTGCATTTCGATCTCATCTATGCTTTTTTGTTGTTCTTCGTTTTCAATGCCATTACCAACAACCCTGTCTTTAACAGCATATGCATGGAAATAATGCAATGACTTGTTTGTCTGGGACTTGGTCTGGTAGCTTGCCTTCACTTCTAGATCTCAGTGATCAACCACAACCCTGCAGGAGAACATGAAGATGTGAGAAAGAAATATCAGAAAAAAAAATGTATTGAAAACATTGTAACAAAATAAGTGCCCAGCAAAATGAATTTGTTTGCTAATAATAAAATTCATTCTCAGTTAAAACAGTTATGTTTAATTTTAGAACTCTCTAACATTGTAGGGCAGGAGGGTTGTGTCAACCAAAGAGAAGCAGAGCATGTAAGGTGTCAACATAAGGAGTGTACTATTCAGTTCACTGACGCAGCATAATCAAGTCTAGTAGGGGTCATTCCTGCCTTGCATTCAAGCCCTCTCTGCCAGTTATCTGCTTTCCTACAGAATAGCCAGCAGAAAGAGAAATACAAAAGTGTAAAAATGTGAGAATAAATTTATCCCCTAACTTATGTTGTTCATGGTGAATGAAAATGTCGGTCTGTTTCACTGTGCCCAGAAGATGTTTCATTTGCCATCGCCCGACCAAGCTATTTTTTTGGAAATAGGAAAAAATCATGTGAAAATACCGGTAACTCAGGAGAATAAGATTACATCCTTTGGTTTTCCTTATTTAAAGTGAACACTGTTTTCCTGCAATGCTTTTTAAAGCAGTTACGTTTTATGAATTATTTCCCTCTTAAAACGAGCTTTCCTAAAGTCTAAACAGATTCATCCCGCGAATATTTATGCGGACATTTTATATCTTTCTTTCTCTGTTTGCCCAACCGACCGACGCACTTTTTTGTTTGAGACGGATGGCTGAATAACAAAACATTGTTTGGGCGTGGCCTAAAATACCAAAAAATCAATGAAACCATACGAACTATCGCTATGTTCGAAAAGTTACCTGAACTTTGGCAACGGTTTTCCTTTAAGAGTATTTACGGCAGACGCTATATCTGTGTCTTCAAACTGATCAACGGCACATTCTGGCAGCATTTCTTTACAAGATGTATACACGGCGTCGGAGAAATTCACACAACAAGAAAAAGCCTTCCTAGAAAAATCAATCGTGCACACTTCCATGCCATCGTCAGTTTGAGAGGTTGTTTCTGAGTGTCTGTTGAGAACTTGTTTTAGGAAAAGAATCTTCTTCTCGCGTGTTACTATCTCTTTCTTTCCAGTTCGTCGCAGCTTTGTCGAAAGCAAAGCATGCTTTCTTCTGCATGTTTCGCACGGTGTTAGGATGGCTTGCGAGGCCTAGCTTGTTAAAACAGCCCATCTCCTCCTTCTTACAACCTCCAAGCACTAGAATGGTGTTAATTTTAAATGTAAAATAAGAGTTTGGAATCCATGGATTCAGAATGCTTGCAAAGATCAATGCCTCCTTGTTTTTCGCGTTCTGTACTTTTTTGTTCCTTGGAAATGACGAAGAAACAAGGCAATGCAAGTTGGCTGCTTTTTGTTGGATTTCTCTAATCAAATGGTCATTTTGGAAATCAGCAGGCTTCTGTAACTCTCCTCGGTACTTGTACGTGTTCGTCGGATCTTTTGAGTAGTTCTTTAGTTCTCTCTTTATTTCTTTTCCAATCTCTTCTAACACTTTATCGTGCAGTGGAGAAAATTTAGTGACGCCAACTCCGGCGGCTTTGTAGTTTTTGATTCCTAAGTTTTTTTACAAGAAGCTCTTCGTCACCAGTACACTCGTGTTCTATCACCCGACCACTGAAATATGCAATAAATATCTGAAAGATGAAGATAAAGACAAAAATTGATACACAAAAATAAGTAGAACACGTGCGGGTAATTCTTAGTAAGAGCTTATGTACATATCGATAAAAAGGTTGTCAATATCAGTTCAATTTTCGTTGAATATTTCTTTACCCGTATCAGAAGGAAAGAAATAATTAGGGGTACTATCTAAAATTAGACAATATGTAAACGGAAACATATTACTTCAATTATATTATTCACTTATTTACCCCTTCCTCACCAATGGTTTATCAATTTGGGGCAATACTTGTAGTTCTACTCTCAGACCTTTGATAATTCTTCAAAAGAAAGCAACGCGTATTATAACTTTTTCGGAACCTGGTGATCACTCTGAGCCTCTTTTTAAGAAATTAAACATTCTTAAATTAGCTGATTTTGTTACCCTTCATAATGCACTCCTCATGTATAACTATCACCATAATCTTCTTCCATCTTGCTTTGAAATTTTTTTTAAAACGGTAGCACCCATACACTCATATAATACCAGGCTTGCTTCTAAATCAACCTATTACCTCAATACTATCAAAACAAACTATGGTAAATTCAACTTTCACTTTGCGGCTGTAAAAGTTTGGAATAACCTTGATGAAAGCATCAAACACCTCCCCCTTAAATTTTTTAAAAACAAAGTCATGTTAAACATCTTACAGTCTTACTGTTCGTGAGTCTTGAATTGGTATTTATATATTTTTTTTTCTCCTCTTTCTTTTTTTTTTTTTTTTTCTTTTTTTTTCCTTTTATCTATTTACTAATTCCTTGTTTGTTCTAGCTTTAGTGCCAACCTACCTCCTATGCTTTAACATTATTCAGCTTTACCCAGCTCGATTAGCTTTTCAGTTATTTTGAGTAAATGTTACCTTTTTTGTATTAATATATTATATTGTAAATTAAGTTAACTTTNCCTTGACTGCTGTCTGAATATATTTAGAAATATATTTGTTGATAAGGTTTTCAGGGAAGAGATTCCTCCGCAGAATGACAGACAATTTTTGAAGGTCAGTCTGGAAAATTAAAGAAAGTTGTAATGTTTATACGACTATCTATATTGTTGCTGCTATCTAGACCTTCTTTAGTTCTCTCTTTATTTCTTTTCCAATCTCTTCTAACACTTTTTCGTGCAGTGGAGAAAATTTAGTGACGCCAAATGCGGCGGCTTTGTAGTTTTTGATTCCTAAGTTTTTTTTTTTACAAGAAGCTCTTCGTCACCTGTACACTCGTGTTCTAACACCCGACCACTGAAATATGCAATAAATATCTGAAAGATGAAGATAAAGACAAAAATTGATAAACAAAAATATGTAGAACACGTGCGGGTAATTCTTAGTAAGAGCTTATGTACATATCGATAAAAAGGTTGTCAATATCAGTTCAATTTTCGTTGAATATTTCTTTACCTGTATCAGAAGGAAAGAAATTATTGGGGTACTATCTAAAACTAGACATTATGTAAAGGGAAACATATTACTTCAATTATATTATTCACTTATTTACCACTTCGTCACCTACGGTTTATCAATTTGGGGCAATACTTATAGTTCTACTCTCAGACCTTTGATAATTCTTCAAAAGAAAGCAACACGTATTATAACTTTTTCGGAACCTGGTGATCACTCTGAGCCTCTTTTTAAGAAATTAAACATTCTTAAATTAACAGATCTTGTTACCCTTCATAATGCACTCCTCATGTATAACTATCACCATAATCTTCTTAAATCTTGCTTTGAAAATTTTTTTAAAACGGTAGCATCCATACACTCATACAATACCAGGCTTGCTTCTAAATCAACCTATTGCCTCAATACTATCAAAACAAACTATGGTTAATTCAACTTTCGCTTTGCGGCTGTAAAAGTTTGGAATAACCTTGATGAAAGCATTAAACACCTCCCCCTTAAATCCTTTAAAAACAAAGTCATGTTAAACATCTTACAGTCTTACTGTTCGTGAGTCTTTAATTGGTATTTATATTTTTTTCTCCTCTTTCTTTTTTTTTTTTCTTTTTCATTTTTTTCCTTTTATCTATTTACTAATTCCTTGCTTGTTCTAGCTTTAGTGCCAACCTACCTCCTATGCCTGAAAATTATTTAGCTTAACTCAGCTCGATTAGCTTTTCAGTTATTCTGAGTAAATGTTACCTTTTTTTGTATTAATATATTATATTGTAAATTAAGTTAACTTTTATTTGGTAATAAAGCTTATGTTGTTGTTGTTGTTGTTGTTGTTTTAAAGGCAATTCCACAAAAACATTCATCTTCGGTTAGTTCATCATAGCATTCAAAACTGAGAAAAGAAATTGGTTTGGTTCAAGCCATATATATTGATAATACAACAAAAATGTAATCTTGATGGTTCCTAAACAGGTCGATCCAAAACACGCGGCTGGAAAACTTGACAAAGGGTGTCTTTCTTGGACCCCAAAACTTAAAGATTTTTTTGAGTATTAAGAATTGTGGAATGAAGGAAACAATGACTTGGGTGTTTT